CTAGTCTTTCCTTTTCCAGCTTAGAATTAATACCCTACTAGGACTTGGGCTGAGAGCAATCAGAGTCCAGCATTTTGGGCTTGCCATGCCTGGAATAGAGCCTCTAGTCTATGCATGGGGAGCAAATGGAAGCAGGGAGCACCTAACCTCTTGGCCCCACTTGTCAGAATTTTGCCAGGAATTGAGAAATGCTGGTGATCTGCTTCCCCGGGTGAGATACTGCATCACTAGATCAGGAGCTGAAGGCACATGAGGCTCCCCTTTTTGGCCACACCACCAGGCCAGAAATTCCATTATGCGATGAGCTGGGAAGTAGAGGCTGGAAGGGAATGAGTGGGTCATGGCTCAAGGGTCACAGACTCTCATTCTTTACAAATATTTGGTAGGATTTTTCCCAGTAAATGTTTCTACATCTGCTATTTGTGCCTATATTTCCAGAGACTTTGTTTTCTTTTTATCAAGTATGATTTAGTTGGTTTATTTTTTATCAATTATTATTGTTTTACTGGGGACAGGGCCACAGGATTCCTAATACAACTGTTCAGGAAATGGAGCTGTGCCAAAAGTTCCATTTACGAAAAGAATTTTATGTTCATTTGTATGTATTTATTATTTAATAAATAGGCTCTCACTGTGTAACATAGGCTGGTCTCAATCTCCTGGGCTCTAGTGATCCACCAGCCTGTCTCCCAAAGCATTGGGATTACAGGCATGAGTCACCACACTGAGCCTAAAAAGAATTTTAGGGAAAAAAAAGTAGCAATATTTATTTATTTATTTATTTATTTATTTATTTATTTATTTATATTTATTTTTTGGGATGGAGTCTTGCTCTGTCGCCCAGGCTGGAGTGTAGTGGCACATTCTCGGTTCACTGCAACCTCTGCCTCGGGGGTTGAAGCAATTCTCCTGCCTCAGCCTCCTGAGTAGCTGGGACTACATGTGTGTGCCACCACGTTGGTATAATTTTTTTGTATTTTGTTTAGTAGAAACAGGGTTTCACCGTGTTAGCCAGGATGGTCTCAATTTCCTGCCCTCATGATCCACCTGCCTTAGTCTCCCAAAGTGCTGGGATTACAGGAGTGAACCACTTGCCCAGCCGCAACATTTATTTTTAATATGGCCATTCTACCTGTTATATCTGAATCACAGAATGTTAGAAAGAACTTTCTGAAATCATTAATTACAATTCTTCATTTTACAAATAGGGAAGTTATCCGTTCCTTTAGAATAGGTAAAAAGATTTTGCTAAGCATTGCAACTCAGTGCCAGAGCCAGTATGGGCTACTGTGCCATGTGACTTATGTTTTTAATGTCAGCTTGGGAAAGAAGTCTTTATATAACAAGTGCCCTAACTAATCCCAGGCAGAAGTGACAAACATTATCACTGCTTTATTGCTTTGTGTTTCATACCTTCATCATGTGCAGCAAGATTCTGTTTTCTTCACATGTAATGTTATGTGTTACGATGAGAGCAAAGTGAGGTGTTCAGGATAAGAATGAAAATGGGTAGGAGAGGGGATGGGCCATTGTTGCTGTATTAGCAGCACAAGCATCTTCATCGGCAACATATCTGACATTCTTCAAAATTTTGTTTTTGAGAGACAATGTGGTAAGCCCTTCCTACTAAGAACATAAAGGAAACGATCTTAAAAATAAATTTTAGTTATCTGAAATATTTGCTCTCATTACTTTTTCTGTCACCCAAATTAATTTTGTGTTTTCAACATGTTTTGTGTACTGAAAATCTTTTTGGATCCACAAAAGAAATCTTGGGTTTGACTAATAGTGTAAGAATAACTTAAAAGTACTGGCAAGATTGATATGCTAGGGATTTAAATACACATATCACTGAATGTTAATTATTACAGGTAGCAGTGTCACCCATGGAAATTAAATTGCTAGCTATAGATAAATATACTAAAAAACATTCACAAGATTTCCATCTATTTTACCAACCCAGTTTTAACAGTCTCACATCTACCCTCTACCCAGTGTAACAGCACTACATCTACTGCTGATGGACTAAATGAACACAGGCCTATGACTGCAGGTGAAAAAAACCACAAAACCTTACCATTCTCCAATTCTCTGCCTTTCTCAGCCAGATAAAATGCCCAGTTGGCTGACTTTGAGGTCAAACTGCAAACCTATTTATATAAAATATCTCTTTTTGCTAGCAGTTTTAATATGTTTTTTTTCAGTTTTGAGTTGCTGCTAAGTCTTGATTTACTTGATTCTTGATATAGTTTTTGAAAAGACATAATCAAAAATCCACTAAAATGTCACATTAAAGAGGTAGGATGGGATAAGATAAAATAACAATAAAATGTATCTAAAGAAAATGCATTATTTGAAAGAAGGAAGACAGAAAATTGGAAATAAAAAAGGATATAAATATAAAAAGGGATAAAATGAGTAAGAGCAAAGTGGACATTAGGTATGATAAAAACTAAGAATGAACAAAATAAATTTAGAAATAAAATAAATAATAAGCGAATAAAATAATGGGAAAGATTTAAACCTTATAATTATACAGTTTTAACCGCTAATTTCATATTTCCCTGTACAATTATTTCTACTTTCATTAGCCATCATTGTTGATTTTTGTTTTGTTTTGTTTTAGGTTGGAACACAAAGACTTGCAGGACTGAGTAATACCTCACACCTTTTGGATAACTTTATGTTATCATTTCAAACTTCAAAATAATATCCATTCACATTCACCACTAGTCAAGCAAAGCTTTTACAGGAAAAGTATGCAGTTAATTTAGTATTAACTCAGATGTTAAAACACATAAGAAGGAAGTTTCTTAAGTATTCTGATCACATTAACTGCCTATTTCTCCCACCACCAATTCTGAATCACGCCAACGCATGGATCTGTTATTGAATCAAAGGAACATCTTTAAGAGGTAAAGGGTAAATATTAATAAAAGCTGGATAGAAGCCTTAGACACTCAGCTGTAAATAAAATATAGGACACTTGGAGTATGATCTTTCTGAAGTTTCTTTTGGCTTCTAAAAGAATTCTCCTATAAGATTTTCAAGAATAACTGTGCCATTGCTGTGTCTTCTAGATTAAGAGATCTCTGGATATGTGAGTTGCCAATGAACTATTCCCAAAGGCTGTCCTGTCGACAGGTCAGCATAGTGTGGTTACTGGGTTTTCCTGCCTCGACAGTTTGGGAGACACAAATTAGAAAGCAAGGAACAACAGTTCAAAGCAAACACACTTGCTCATGAATAAGGGATGGCTGATCATCAATAAGGAGAGAATACTCTCCCGGAACATAAAAATGGCTAAAGATTTTGTTTAAGTATAGAACCCTGGAAGCAGTGAACAATAGGTAATGATAGATAGATGATAGATAGGTAGATAGACTGATAGGTAGATAGATAGATTGATAGATAGATAGATACATAGATAGATAGATAGATACATACATACATACATACATAGACAGACAACAATTACCTTTGGAAAAGTCTCTGTACCACATACAGTATATTAAAGAAGCTGTTTTATAAAGTTCATCCATGGAGCAACTGGGTTATCAACCTTATCAACTCTAAACCCTGCTGTGTCATCTCCTGCACTATTACCTATAGCTTTAATACTTTCCAAATTCTAAACTAGAAGGTTTGGTTTAGTTCATCCTAAACTTGCATAATGGGGGCTTGAGAAGTCAACCTAGCTTTCTCTCTCCATTCTCACCTTTCACTGGGGATTTATGTTCCTCAATGGTGACTGGCCTGGCCGTATGTTCAGTGCACTAGATGACTGAGATCTGCCTCATTCTCCAGTTTTCCCTGGTGTTCCAATCTTTCTGGTGGCTCAGTCCCTACTCTTTCTAGTCAGAACTACCTGGTGCCACATTCTTCTCTACCTGGATTTCAGACTCCTTGGTCTGTCATTGCAGGCTGCTCACTGTGGCTCATCACTGACCCTCACAGGCCCTGTGCCCCATCTTCCCTCTCTGCCTGCTGACAGCCACACTCATTCTTCTGCCAGGGCTCTGACTGACCTCAGGCCTCTGGTTGTCTCATCCTGCCTCTGCCCAAACCAGGATGATAATACTCTGAGACCACTGGAAAGAGCTCAAGGTCAATCAATTTGCTCAGTTTTAGAAGATAAAGATGATAGAAAACATTTACATAAACTGTCATTAATAAATATTACAGAAAACATGAGGTCAATGAATTTCCAGATGTCTGTAAAAGCAGCTCATGTGTAAAACCTCATTTTTGAAACAGCAGATACAACTAAATGCACATATTTGTCATTTTTCCATTTGGCACAAATACACTTAAGATGAGCACTGTAAGATAAACTCAGTGCTAGTTGCTGGGGGACATAAATGTCAATCTAGTTAATCTCTTCTCAGGGTCTGTGGGAGGAGAGTTGTTTCTACTTATGGAAATGGAAAGAATATTACCAGAAGCAAAAGCCTCAGTGTGCACATTAGAAAAATAATATGTCTTGCATTCAACTCTACATTGATGTGAAATATGTTAAACCTCTAAGTAAGATAGACCAGATCCTTTTCCACATTGAGTACTTTTGCTCTTCAGTGTGGGTTTAAAGACAAGGTCTTTCAGGTGAAGGCTGGTAAACATTCAGATCATCCTGCCACTTTTGGCTATGCCCTTAGGCTGTACCAAAGTTTAAAGGATTTGTCAAAACCTCATTGGCAGCTGCAAGCCTGTGACTGCCTAAATACATCTATGCTCTGCATAGCAGCCTAATGCAAGTTCCAAGCACCTTTACATTAATAGAGCCATTTGCCTTGTCAAGAAAGCAGCAGCAGGCAAAAGACCCCGTGATCCTGTTCTTTTTGTACGTCTCTTCATTTTACTGTGCAAAATAGCACACTTCAGTCCCCCGTGCTCATGTTTTATGATAACATATTGAGAGGAAAATTTATTACAAAGCCAATCATAGGCAGAATATACGAAAATTTCCCCCATATTTTGAAGAAAGTGCATCAAAGAAGAGGTTGTTTTCTATATCGATTTTCTTTATTTTATTGCTACATTCTCATGATTGGAGGGCCACCAACAAATCTCTCTTTTGTTCAGCGGTAGCATTCTGCCTGAGAAAATGGAAGTGTGAGATCCACATCATATAACCAAGGCAACTCATTGATCAAAAATATTCTGAGAGGAAAATAAAGTGAACTATTTTGTGCTATTAATCATAGAACAGAAATATACATAAAACCAGGGTCCATTGTCAGTAATTCTTGTATTGACCTAAAAGAGAAAAACAAGTGAATTAAATAACTCAACCTTATCATATTAAATGCAGTAATACAGCAAATAGTATCCATGTCTCATAAATAAATTTTGGTAAATTTGCAAGCACTATTTTCAGCTGCTTCTAAAGTATATTAATTTTCTGTACTTTTAGCACACTTTCTTGTGTGCTATGACACAATAATAAGATGCTTAAACATCAGATAGATACAGAGCATGGAATAACAACACCAAATTGCTATGTCTTCTACTGGTGAGACATATAGTCATCAATCAATTGACTGGTTGATTAACAAGTTGATAGATTTGGTATGTACCTGATGGCAGGCACTGAACCACTTATACCACGACCCAACAGGAATAGTACTACCAGCTAGGCAGAATTTTGCCTCTATTAGAAGCAGGATTTCTGTGCCCATGGCTGCTTGACATGTCTATCGTCACCAGGTAGATTTTTAATTCTATCCAGGTTATGTATATCCTATGAAGACGAACATCAATTCCATCAAGCAAAGGAACTATTTTAGCTGGAAGATAACATATATTCATTGACCCAGCATGAGTAGTAGATTTTTTTCTAGTTTGCATTATGACTTATGCATTAAAAATGATTGACATTCATGGTCTTAAATTAAAATGAATTAATATTCACAAAATTGTCTCATACACTCTAAAGCTTTGCAGATTACAAACATTTGTATCTTCTTAATGGTGGTTTTTACAGGAAAGAAAATATAAAATAAATTGACTATATCTGCATAGTCATTATTGATAGCCATTCAATCATTGCATTAGCAACAGTCAGTTATATAAATAAAAATAACAAGCTTATGGGTACTTCTTGGAGAAGAAGACCTGCTAGCTGTCGTACATCTGTGAAGGTGCACAGATTTATCTCCAGGAGGCTGTGGAGTAACCTTGGAAGACAGGTATTAATGGCAGAGCCATCTGGCGATTAAGAAATAAGAAATACCCTTTTATTTTTCTTGTTTATTTTAGTTAGGAAAAACTTTGATTTAATTTGATTGTCTGGATATTCAAACCTTTGGTGAAGCAGTTTAGCTGATGTTTTCACTAATATAATTTATAATCTGCCATCTACATATTTATTTAGATATGTTTATTCAAAAAATATACATAATGGTTGCTTTATGTATAACTTTTTAAATACATGAAGTTTATTGTGCTGTAGACTTCATTCTATTTCCATCTGTTTACCCCAACCAACACTACAATAAACATTCTTACCCTTCTCAGTGTATATCTTCAAGAGTTTTGGGGCTTTGTTTAAAATAAAGATACAACTGCAGTGTATATACCTATAGAACCTCACTAACATACTGCTAAGTAACTCTTCTGAATTTCTTAACTAGTTGTTATGTCACCAGCAATGAATGAGGGTCTCTCTTGCCAATATTCTTGTCAGTACTTGATATTATCCAATTTTACAATTTTTGTCAAATCTGGTTGTGAAAATTGGTATCTACTGCTGCTGTTGTACGTTATATCTTATTCTTTTTTTTTAATTTACTCTGTTGCTCTTTTTCTTCTTGAAATGAACATTTAGTTAATTTATTTTTCAATCATTTTTGATACCAAAAAAGTATGAAATCTATCAACTTTTTATAAATGCTGCATTAACTCTATTTCACACATTTTGACATACCAAGTTTTTGTGAGGAGGAGGGCATCCATCACTTCAAGCATTTATCCTTTCGTTGTGTTACAAACATCCAATTATACTCTTATAGTTGTTTTTAAATGTACAATAAATTGTTGAGAGTAGTCACCCTGTTATGCTTTCAAACACTAGATTTTCTTCATTCCATTTTTACTTTTGTACCCATTAATCATCCCACTTCCTCCTACCTTTACAATCCTTCCCAGCCTCTGGTAACCATCCTTCCACTCTATATCTCCATAAGTTCAATTGTTTTAATTTTTGGCTCCTGTAATTAAGTGAGAACATGCAAAGTTTGCCTTCCTGTGCCTCGCTTATTTCTTTTAAGATAATACCCTCCAGTTCCATCCATGTTGTTGCAAATAACAGGATCTCCTTCTTTCTTTTGGTTGAATAGTATTCCACTGTATATATGTACCACATTTACATTACCAATTCAAATCTTGGCTATTGTGAATACTGCTGCAATAAACATGGTATTGCAGATATCTCTTTGATATCTGATTTTCTTTTTTTTTTTTTTTTTGAGACGGAGTCTCGCTTTGTCGCCCAGGCTGGAGTGCGTGGCACGATCTCAGCTCACTGCAAGCTCCGCCTCCCAGGTTTACGCCATTCTCCTGCCTCAGCCTCCCGAGTAGCTGGGACAACAGGCGCCTGCCACCTCGCCCGGCTAGCATTTTGTATTTTTTAGTAGAGACGGGGTTTCACCGTGTTAGTTAGGATGGTCTCGATCTCCTGACCTAGTGATCCACCTGTATGGGCCTCCCAAAGTGCTGGGATTACAGGCTTGAGCCACCGTGCCCGGCCCTGATTTTCTTTGAGTATATGTAGCAGTGGGATTATTGGCTCATACGGTAGCTCTGTTGTTAGTTTTTTGATGAGCCTCCAAAGAATTCTCCATAGTGGTTATGCTAATTTATATTCCCTTCAACAGTGTATGAGCATTCTCTTTTCTCCACATCTTTGCCAGGATTCATTATTGCCTATCGTTTGGATGAAAGTCATTTTAACTGGGGTGAGATGACATCTTATTGTAGTTTCGATTTGCATTTCTCTGATGATCAATTATGTTGAGCACCTTTTCATATGCCTGTTTGCCATTCGTATTGACATACTAAGTTTTTATAGCTATCCATTTTTTACCCATACTGGTTAGGGAATCTCTAGCCTATATGAGAGTAATCTTAGAAATTATGGGGGCTTTTGGGAGAACCAGTACATTATCAATATTTGAGACTATTCTATGTGTGTTTTAAATGAATCTGAAGTCTGTATTTGTTGTAAAGATATGTTTGTATGTAGGTGTATATGTTCTCAGAAATTTACTGATCTTGCTATTCAATTTTCTGTACTTCTACATATATTAAATTTGTTTAATCTATTAACCTCTGAGTGAAGTCTCTAAAAATTTCCAACTCATATTTATAACGTACCCCTTCTAAAATGAGAATCAGCATGGTTAGTTGCATCACAGCTAGAGAGCAGCACGAAGAGCAGAATGTCCAGAATTTAAAAGCTAAACTTATACTTGACAATATTTTTCATATTCATGTAATTTCTTCCTGAATATTTTAAAATATTGCTTATGAAATATACTTAAGGATCTCTTTAACTATCCCTTTGGGAAGATGGGGAGATCGCTATTGCTAGCTATGCTGTTTCAACTATCATTATTTAATAAATGAATTGTAAATGTATTATTTAATTAAGAAGCACTTTCTGTGCAGACTCAGTTACTAAAAAATAAAGTAATACCTTTATTTTTAAAACATTACTGATATGGTTTAATAAGAAAGAACTTAAAAATAGATTATACATTAAAGTATGTCTTTATATTCATTTCTTCTTTGCATTTTTTGACCAATTCCCTATAAATTGTGGCCACTTCATGGTAAAGAAACCTTAATTAAAATACCAAGTGCAAAGGAAGGACAGGATTTGGATGACATATGTGAATGCAAATGAAAAGTACTCTATTGGGAAAGTGAGACTTCATTGAAGGTGACATACTTATGGAAAAAAAGATGTGCTGAGCAAGCACCTTGGCTGAACAAGCAATTTGGGGCAGTGCCATAAGCTGTAGGCATTTTAGTAAAAAACATTAAAAACGTAATTGGGAAAGGCTTGGGTAATTGGACCCCAAACAGCATCAATCTTTAGAACTACAAAGCTTGAGGAAAACAAAATGTCAATCAATAAGAAATGGTGATAATGCAAAATCAACACTAAATATACACACAAGAAGAGGTGCACCTTGTTTTAACATTTGGGTAAATAACATTATAAAAGTCTCCTTAAGTTAAATGTATACAGACATAGATTTATCCATTTCACATTTAGATAGAGGTTTATGTGTTCCTTCAAGTGTGTGTATACAAGAGAAACAGATATGTTACCACAATCTGAAATGTCTTAAGTACAAATTGGTGTTCTGCAGCACTCGGATTTTGTAAGAGATTCTAGTGGAATCTTAGTCTTTTCTACAACAGAAATAAGAATGTGGAGGGAAAAAAAGAGAACAGTCCAAGAAGCCTTCTAGAAGAAAAATTTCTATATTCATTAGATTTTTCCTCCAGACTAATTAAATCTTGTTATATCGAAGCCAAAACAAAAAAGAAATCATTATTGTTTTCAAAGGTAAGACGGAACATATGTGAATGCAAACAAACAAACAAAAAAACAGTGATAGGGTGAAGATTCGAAAAAGAAGAGTTTTTCCATTCGGTTTCCTTAAATGATACCTAGTTTAGAGGTAAATACTCACAATTTCTCTCTATTTTGGAAAATGATCAAGTCATAAATGTAATTTACATAACCATAGGCCTTGTCAAACACAGACCACTTGAGAAAATCAAGGCTTTTCTATAATTCCTGGCTGACAGTTTCGCCTCTTTATGTTTCCTTTCTCAGACATTGGTAGATTTGAACAGCGCTTATAATAAAAGGCAAATTCCAAAGGTGACCATGCCTAAGGCCAAGCACATGGTTGAATAGCTGTAACTGAGGTAGCTCAGGAATAAATTATTTCTCCAAAAGCTAGAGTAGCATAACATTCCCATAATCTAATTGTGTCCTCATTCTCTCAAATACAAGATTATCTAAGCCATCTATTCTAACAATTTACTCATTCAATAAATATTTATTGAGCCTCTACTGTATTCAGGCACTGTAATAGATTGTAGGGATAGAGCAGTTTTTTAAAAGCACAAAATCAAAGCCCTCATGGAAGATATATTCTAGTGGGAGATAGATGATAAATAAGAAAAATATGTAGCATATTAATTGGTGATAATTTCTGAAGAAAAATATAAAGCAA